GGTTAAATCTCATAAACAGCATCTTCCCGAGGCAAGAGAGTTAACTGACTTTAAAAGTCCAGTTTCCACCCTTGCCGAACTAGGCTGGAATTCCCGGGCTCGATCGTAGCGCCACCAGTGGCTATTACGAGTAATGTCCTTTCTATGCCTCTCCTATTGACCAATCAGATTCAACCTCTCGTATCACTAACATTTGCTTCAAACAAAACGGTGGCGACCAGTCAAGACGATCTGATCGATAATCAAGATCTATATTGTGATCAAACGAGTCTTACATCGCGAAGTGCATCAAATCACGTGAGCACCTTGATCAAAAACCTGAAAAGATATAGAAAATATTTGTTGACAACGAGTTAGCGGTGCACATGCTTTGCAAATCCTGCAGTCGACCGAACTATGCATGGCACTTTACGAACCGGATTTCGATTTCGGTGCGCGATTTTGATTGGACTATGCATAGACTCGTTAGTCCAGCCAAAATGTAACTCCATAATACCAGCCTAGTTCGGCAAGGGTGGAAACTGGACTTTTACAGTCAGTTAACTCACTTGCCGCGGGAAGATGCATAAACAGGGGCGTTGTGATGTCCCCGGGATTTTATGGGATACGTTATACTATCCCGGGTATTTTGTTTATACAACTTCCGTTCAGATTGTAACATGTAATGGAATGTAAAATCAAATTACGAATGTTTTGTTTTTCACTCCCGAGGATCCAACACGGATCCTTCGTATCTGTAACCCAGTGAGTATACCACGAGGCGACAGAGGCGCTGACAAATCGCAATGCCATTTTGAATGTCTTTTTCAAGAATCGTACGCCAGAAACAGATATTTTACGCCCGAATCCTAAAGTTCATGGAAAGTTTGTTTGAAACATAAAAAAGTGGAGACAAATGTTGTTTTCTTTTTTCGGTTTATAAGTAAGTTAAAATTTATCCCGCGGATGCTGGTTTTAAATATCATACAAACCCTTGGACGTGCTTTACCCTCCACGTTAAATGTCGCGCCACAATGACGTCATTATCAAGGTTGATACGTTTGGTTGGTTTGTTGTTCAACGCCGCACTCAGCAAAATTCCAGCTATATGACGCGGTCTGTAAATAATCCAGCCTGGACCAGACAATCCAGTGATTAATATCATGACCATCGATCCACGCAATTGGGATCGATGACATGCATCAACTAAGTCAGCGAGCCTGAGTCGCGTTTTACGACAAGCATGGGTCGCTGAAGACCTATTCTACCCCGGAATCTTCACGAGTCAGATAAGTTTGGTGTTTAGTTAATTGAGATTGGGTTCTTGTTAACAATGGAATTTGTGTCATCAGTTTAAAATTCAGGAATATCTAAACCATTGAAGTATAAACAACTTTATTTTGCATATTTGTATCCATCAGATTAATCTGTTTTATCGCCAACATGTTTTCGAGTATTAGTTTCACGGTAGTGTAAACTTGTGCCTTACCATATTTATATTGATCGGATTAAATATTTAGCTCACCCGGACCGAAGGAAAACTTTAGGAAGATGTCTATCACCATGATTGATTTTTTTCATAGCCTGAACATGAAATTAAAACCAAATTGTGAAATATCTTAAGACTTTCCTTCGTAGAAACCACAAGGTAGAGAGATGTGAAACAAGGATGTGGGATTTTGCTTTGTTCGCCGCAGTCCAACAGTTATAATTGTTTTGGCAAAAATATATATTTTTAAATACATTCTTATTTATTTTCTTTCTTTATTTTCTTCTTAGACATCAAGGCCTGGGAGCTGAGATTTCATGCAGATGTTTAGGATCAGCTAGGACCAAAAATTTAAAGTATGCTTTTCAATGGTGGGAAATGTTCAATAATCTTTTCCTAAACCTGAGTATATGAAGGACACTCAACTTTCGCCATTGTTGATTGTTTAGATGAAGGACATTGTTGATGCTTTGGGCAAAATGGAATATCAATAACATTCAGCACACTCAGTACCTACCTGGTGGTAAGCAACAGTGCCTTGCCCCGATTATTAGTAATGTAAAAAGATACGATGTTTTTAATTCCAATGACCCACATTTTATCGGCTAAGGAATTAAATTTCAAGAAATGTTTATTTTAAAAAAGCGTTGCTAGGTAAATAAAACAGGAAATTGCATTCATGTAAATATTTCATATTATTGGGTGAACAATTCAACAAGGAATAAAACACGACTTATCACATATTTTATGTTCATATATTATATTGTAATAAAAGTGGGGAATATTTCAACGACAATCAAGACTATCTCACCGCCCTGAAGATACAGGTATCATTGTTATGATCTAAATATAGAACTTAACTGTTCCCGGAGACAGGATAGTGTGATCACATCAGATACCGGGCATCAAATCAGAGGAACATCAATCCTGGAACGTTGGACTTGCCAGGGGGCTGGCTGTTAGAGAAGTCTCTTTTCGGATAAAATATCACAAAATATCATCAACCGTGCGTTTTTATATGTGTTTAACGATAAGGCCTGGAACTTGTCGTTTCTTCTCTGGCTGAAATAAATTGAATCAAGATTCGGTTGTGTTAGTAAATACATTGACATGTTGACATGTTAGTGCGCGTTAGTGCATGTAAGTGCATGGTAGTGCACGGTAGTGCATGTTAGTACGCGTTAGTGCATGTTAGTGCGCGTTAGTGCATGTTAGTGCGCGTTACTGCTTGTTGGTGCGCGTTAGAGCGCGTTAGTGAATGTGAGTGCAGGTTAGTGCGTGTTAGTGCATGTTAGTGTAAGTGTACATGTGAGAATGTCTGATATGGGAGCAGTTCATAAGTTTGTGAAAATGGTGAAATGTAAGTGAACAAATTGGTGTGGCACTTAGCCTGCACAGAAACAGTACAGAAGCATCAACAAAATGAACACTGACACTGAGGTTATGTCCTACATCCTTGGCTCGTTTAAGAAAACTGTGGAATGCCTTGTTCTCATCATGAGTTTTGACAATATTAAGGCCGGGCACAAACTGGCTTCACAGATTGTGGGGAATGAAACCCGGCCCATCGGTGTGTCAAGCGAACGCTTTAATCTCTAGACTATGTCACGACCCATCAAAATAGACAATGCGGGACATATCAAACTGGTAGGGACACATGAGCGGTGAGTGGTGGGGCACAGGGTGTTTGGGCGTCTGTGCTTGTAATAAGAGGCGACAAACGGGATCGGGTGCACAGGCTCGTTGATTTGGTTGATGAATGTCATGGTATACCAATTGCATATATAGATCGATGCCTACGCTACTCGATTAGTTACAGACCGCCGTCGAAAATCTGAAATATTCCTGCGTGCGACGTAAACCAACAACAAACAAACACATCCTGGAAAAACCAATAACTTTTCTAGGGTTTACATCAACAAATAAACCGTTAGTTGGATATTCTGGATGTTCCGCCAAATGACCTGAAAACATACTCTGTCCCAAACCAATATTGATTCCATTGAGATTCAAACACTATAGAAGAGTTACACAGGACGGAGCTGAGGTTAAATACCAAACATGAATACAATTTTACAGGGCAACAAAAGTTTCACTCTTTGGAAAGGGACGTGCTGAGGTTTGATAACATACGGGGGACACGGGTGGCCCAGTCGTCTTAGGCGCCGCGAATCGCTGTGTTGCGACCTTTGGGCACGCCAGACACCTCATTGTGGGTTCGAATCCCGATTCGCCCCGATTATGTTTCTAGGTTTGTCAGCACCATACCCGTGCTCCAGGGTTTCACCGAAGTGGTAAACGTCTGAGACCTACATCACTTTGGGCTTTCATCACACATTAAGCTGACACGCCGCGATATAACTGGAATACTGTTAAACATGTTAAAAGCATGTTACAATGTTATTGTTATAGTGCGGCGTTAAACAAGAAACAAAATCACATCGGAATGGTGGCTACACACAGTTCAAGGATGACACTTGTGGTTTCATACTTACAGTGGATACAATTTACACGCTTTTCAAGGATTGTACTGAGATTTCATTAAAATAATTGCAGAGGAATAAACGTTCCACACTTTAAAAGGAGTGAGTGAGTATGGTATTACGCCGCTTTCAGCAATATTCTAGCGAGGGACACCAGATATGTGCCACCACTTTAACAGGAAAATGCTGAGGTTTAATAACAAAGGAACAAATCTTGACCCTCCTCTCAAGTGATGACAGAGGAATAAAGGCCTGTAAATATCGAGTCGAGGTCAGACAAAACAGTGATTGATACTGGGAGCAACGTTCCATGCTTTCCGGATAAGATGACACGCAAATAACAAAGTCACCGAGCCTCTCCATCCATTTCGTCTCCTCTCACGACGGGCGCCTTCTGTCACCCGGAACCCCCACGGGGATGAGGGTGTGGGATGTCAGCAGTACTCCGTGACGTCACACGGTACAGAACATTGCTTCTTCTTATAGCATGCATGTTCCGCGGGCAGTTCTGTTTTATTGCTTTTCAGGCTATAGCTTAATAAAAAGCTAAAAAACACGTCTTCCCTCATTAAAATTATTCTTTATGCCCAGAGGATTTTTTTCTCGAGACATCCAATTTCGCACGCAAAAATCTGAAAACATTTTGTGAAAAAATCCACACACATATCGCCCTAATATATCAGATATAAACACCTACACGACCCCATTCATTACGAAGCATTCTTCCGCATCTGATTAGAAATCACATCATAGGCCTCAGGGATTACAGTTAGATCACCTCTTGATGCCAAATATTCCTGTTCGGGGCTACATACAACCGCATAACAGCCCCGAGCGCGTATACGTGTTATAAAAAAGTTGGCCAGGCAATGGCTACACAATCGCTGGAAGTCCTCACACACCTATCCCACTACCGCCAGAGGGCGCTGATGACGTTCCGTGGTCGCTGCTGGCTGTGGGTAGCGATGTAGTGGATGACAGAGTCATCATCGCTTCCTACTTCGTCGGTGGTGGTAGGGTACATGTATAGGATTTCTGATCAGAAGCGTCTCAGTTGCACGACCACAGGGTTGGATTGGATGAGATCTCAGAGCCTCTGGAGGTGCTGCATCTGAACGTGGGCTAGAAACGGTTTTGAAAGCGGAAGCTGGATTACATCCGTTGATGTTGTAGTCCATAGGTGCGTTGATGATCTTTTATAGTTGAGAGGGACGTTGTTGCCTCCATACACCCTTATTGCAGCCGTGTCCTTTATGTAATCAACCTCGCTGGGATACCTATCGCTCAAGAGAGACGAATCTGTTTTGAGGTCCCGTCGATGATGTTGTTCTTGAAGACGTGTTTGTTGTTTGCTGTGTGTGTTGGGGCTCTCGCTCACGTGATCCTGTATGACCCCCCTCAGCGTTCTTCTATCTGGAGGCACGGGAGGATGGATAAGACGGGATTAGCCAGGAAAAACTCGGACGACTTTTCCCTCAACTGTGGCGGAATGGGGGTGAGAATTCATGATGGTTCACAGTAGGAGAAACTTAACAAATGTGATCTGAAATATTTTCGTCTTCCGAAATCCATGTGGATGCATTTAAAATCTAACATATAAGTTTTTGCGGATATGATAAAAAATATTTTGATGTGTTTTATCACAGTCACGTTCTAACATCCTTCTTACTACTATGATATTCTAGACAAGGCCTGAGAGCGTGCCAGAAACCAATGATCATGGGTTCGATTCCCAGATTTGCCCTGATTATGTTTCTAGGTTTGTCAGCACCATATCCGTGCTTGTGGGTTTCACCAAAGTGGTAAACGCGATAGAACTGCCATACCTCGGACTTTCTTCCCACATTAAGCTGACACGCCGTGATATAACTGGAATACAGTTCAAGGCAGTGTTAAACCCGACTCACTTAATACTTTTATGGGTGTTAGTAAAAGGTGGTACATGGTCAACAGAATGATAAAACTAACAAACGGAACGTTTCAGTGTAGTCAAATTGTTATTGCACGGTGCCAAAAGCCGTGCTTAAATTTGTTTTTGGTTTGAGAAAGTTACATGGGGAAATATGTATACAACTTTTTTGAAAAATAAGACACTTTATCTCTCACATGTATAAGTGCATATGCGAAAGACATAGATAATTACGAAAATGTGTTTTTAAAAAACAACATTCTGAACTGATTCTGTAATTTATGACACTATTTTTTACATGTTTGTGTTAGTCGGGCACAATGATCGAAGGGAGTTAACTCATAACTTAGTTATGCGATGTAAAAACATTGTGGCACTGTTTTACACTGTTTCGGCGACTGTTTTCATCCTGGTAACGCCTGGTAATTTTTTAGTCAGGTCCTATTTTCAAGCGCATACTTTCTTTTGCACGGCAGTTTATCAGCGGGTATAGACATATATCATAAAGTAGAATTGAAGAATAATGAAGGCAGATATCTGTCGATAGAAAAGTCTTTTCGAATATGTCCAGTCTGTAATAATGGTATAGAGGATGAATTTCATTTTTTACTCATTCGTTCATGTTATAATGATCTCTGAAAAGAATACTTACCGGCAAAACTTTGCCGATATCCTAGCATGAACCATTTCAAATCTATTATGTGTAATAACAATGAAGCAATCTTAAACAGTTTATCAAGTTTCCTATATTACGCTTATGCAAAAAGAACAAGTAGTACAATTCAATTATGACATAAGTCATGTGTCACGTTACTTTACCGTTGCATCTGTGAACAATTGGTATATTGTGAACTATTATTGTATATGGGCCCGAGGCCTTCATGCAAACTACCAACTTATTTAATTGACGACAATATTTGTAATGAAGAGGTATACCCGATAGACCGAACCCTGTTAATCCGGAAGCGTTACATATACAAGCACAGGCAATGTTTTGTTAATTCGGACGCATTGCCTGCCGGAACGTTTACAAATACAAGAACTTTACTTCATATCCAAGTTTTGTTGATCCGGATAATGTGAACAGTAGGAATCGGATTAACGAGGTTACAGTGTATATTTCATTTTAATAATTCAAACAATAAACTTGACGGACCATCCCACAGCAATTTGTGCTGAATTATTTCACCGTTGACAATCCTTGCGAATAAAGATGCGTATCTTGCGATGAGGCTACTGAGGTGTAAGGATGGGAGTCGTGTACTACACGAGTGGATCAACCAATTACATTAGTGTAGGTTATAAATTGCCATGCCCCCCTGGGGACATAACGGGACTTGGGACCACCAGTCGGCGTCAACAGGAAGTCGTAACCCCCAGGGCAGTTAAAAACTTCTTGATCAGAATAGCTGATTACTGTTTTTTAAGTTCTTTAAGATATATGGCTCCAGATCGCTGAGATTATATCAATCAAACCTACATTAAAGAAATGTGACACAAGGTTGTAAATAAGTATATATGTTATGTTGCATATTAATGTTCATGTTAGATGCGCTAAAAACGTAAAGTGAAATATCAAGATCACTTTAAAAAAATGTATTTCCCATATTAGAGCCAAACCCGCTTTCATATTTCATTGGATTTATCAAACAGGACAAGATCGGGTTTGTTGGCCTGGATACGTCTGACGCTGTATACGGGCCTATTCCAAAGAATTTTGTTTTTATCATTTTCCATGACGCCCTTTTCAAATTCTCCGTTTCTGGATGGACCTCTGCGTCAAATCCACATGCATGGCGAAGACGGAAACAATATGATCGAGCCACTCCATCATGTCGCTTAACATACTGTGTTTGTGCCAAAGCTGGAAATCCATTGGCAATGTGTTGGACAGTCTCATAAAATTCGTTGCTTAATCTACATTTCATATTTACATTTTGATGCAAAATCCCACATTGACGGTTTCCAGTGGGAAGTGACTGGTCCTGAGCTGCAAACAGAAAGCCTTCTGTTTCACTTTTCAGGCCAGTCGACTTTATCTATGCAAAGGACTCTGCAGGGTTGCTGAGCTTCTCAACACTCTGCACATGGTTCGTTCAGATAGCCTCTCCTTGAAAAACTGATATCTGAGGGAAAGAACATCTGAAGAGCTCATAATCAATTTGCGCTTGCATGAACCTATGAAATCCAATGCACTGAAGTTTTTTAAATTTTTCTATAATGTTTATCATTGCAGATCCAGCACAGTACTAACGGAGGTACGTGTGGTGTGTGCGGGGATGCCTATGACCCCCGCCCGGTGCCTAACTACCCCCACCAGTACCCCGGGATCTACTCCCAGGGTATAATCTCCGGGTGCTACACCGCCGGATCCCGTACCATGAACATAGAGATCTGGATCAGGGCCTACCATAAGGTAAGACCACGCACCATGGCAAACCACGTACCTGACAGGCCACGCCCCATGAGAATTATCATATTGCGGATCTTGTGACTTTATCTCCCTTTCTGGACGATCTCTACGTACATGTACGTTAACAATTGAATATAGCATAGTATTTATTAATAAACACCACAACAAGCACATGACTCGTTGTTCCGGAATTACTTCCACATGGACGATTTTGGTGGGAAAGGTACCGCCCTGTAAATTGGATTTCACCCGACAAGCCTATTTGAACCGTATGCCACAGACGGAATCTATCATAGTCACCACCTTGGAATGCATGGAAAATGATTCCCAACTTGCCCAAATAGTGGTTCTAATTTGTACTTCAGATCTGTACGAACTTGTCTGAACTCAAATAAGTCTTGATGTTTCCTCCCAGGGTTACTTCGAGTTCCGGTTGTGCGCAAACAACGACTACACTCGCCCTGTGACGCAGGCGTGCCTGGACCAACACCAGCTGACCATCGAGACGGTGGAGGGAAAGAGCGTCGGGACGCGGTACAGACCCCCTGTCGCGATGTCCGGGGGTCGCTACAAGCTGAAGCTGGTGTTCCCCCTTGGGATGCAGTGTACGCAGTGTGTGCTTCAGTTCATATACAACGCAGGTGAGAACGGGGAAGCATTAGGATAGTCGGAGTGAGTGGAAGAGTTTGAACGCCCCAGTCAGTAATTTAATTACCCTCCTATAACATTTTGAGTTTGAGTTTAGTGAGGAAAGCATTCAGATCCAGTCGGGTTGCAATGAAGTAGTGATATTGAATAAATCTACTGTAAACCATGCAACGCCAGATCCCTCCGCACATAGTTCGTACAGCAAGGCGGTCGTGTTGAAGTTAGTCTGCGCTTAAAAGAAATTAGGTTTGATTTGAAGACAAAACAGTCACAGGTTCGCGACTGCCGTCATGTTTTGTTGTGTCCTGTGATTGTCACGTGCGTTTCCGAGGGATAGCAAGGTGTAGATAAATATTCGGAACACCAATCTCTCGACTCCAGCCTGGGCTTCATTCCCCGAAGTCATGTTAGTACGACTATCTTAACTCCCGTACTGTAATGTCGTAATTCTGATGTGACCTTGTTGAACAACACCTTGTGTCTCGTTCAACAGACCGATCCTTGCGCTGAGACGATTGTACCTCCCTTATTGAAGCATGGACTTACGAAGTCCTAGCGCTGAGACGATTATACCTCCCTTATTGAAGCATGGACTTACGAAGTCCTAGCGCTGAGACGATTATACCTCCCTTATTGAAGCATGGACTTACGAAGTCCTAGCGCTGAGACGATTGTAATTCCAAAATTGAAGCATGGACTTTCGAAGTCCTAGCGCTAAGACGATTGTACCTCCATTATTGAAGCATGGACTTACGAAGTCCTAGCGCCATGACAATTATACCTCCCTTATTGAAGCATGGACTTACGAAGTCCTAGCGCTGAGACGATTGTACCTCCCTTATTGAAGCATGGACTTACGAAGTCCTAGCGCTATGACGATTGTACCTCCCTTATTGAAGCATGGACGTTCGAAGTCCTGCGCTATGATGATTGTACCTCCCTTATTGAAGCATGGACTTTCGAAGTCCTAGCGCTAAGACGATTGTACCTCCCTTATTGAAGCATGGACTTACGAAGTCCTAGCGCTGAGACGATTGTACCTCCCTTATTGAAGCATGGACTTACGAAGTCCTAGCGCTGAGACGATTATACCTCCCTTATTGAAGCATGGACTTACGAAGTCCTAGCGCTGAGACGATTGTACCTCCCTTATTGAAGCATGGACTTTCGAAGTCCTAGCGCTATGACGATTATACCTCCCTCATTGAAGCATGGACTTATGAAGTCCTAGCGCTGAGACGATTGTACCTCCCTTATTGAAGCATCGAATTACGACAAAAATTATTACCAAAAGACGTTTAAAGATGGTACTTGTTGTTACCCTGTCTGGCGCTCGGCATTAAGGGGCTAAATCAAGGACTAGTCGGCTCGGAGTCAGTATACTGTGTCTGAGTGAGGTATTCATGGTAAACTGCGGCATGGTATCTCAGTGTGCTAACACTATAAATCGGCATCAGTCCGGACTAGTACAAACAGCCACATACACCCGCGCATGCACGTCGCTATATAAGTGCCATAATCTTGGACGCGACGTTAAACCAACTTTCACCTCACCTCACCTCACCTAGCGCTGAGACGATTGTAACTCCAAAACTGAAGCATGGACTTTCGAAGTCCTAGCTCTAAGACGATTGTACCTCCCTTATTTAAGCATGGACTTACGACAGTCTAAACGCTAAGACGATTGTACCTCCATACTTATAAAAAAGCAAGGACTCAGGACACATTGAATCCTAGACTTACGACAGCCGTAGCGGCGCTAAGACGATTGTACCGCTCATACCTATTATTAATAAGCATTGACCTCCGACAGCCGTAGCGTTATTTAAAGACGATTGTACCTCCTATTTTGAATCCTAGACTTACGACAGCCATAGCGGCGCTAAGACGATTGTACCGCTTATACCTATTATTAATAAGCATGGACCTCCGACAGCCGTAGCGTTATTTAAAGACGATTGTACCTCCCAATTGAAGACTTACGACCGTCGGGGCGCTAAGATCGCTGTTTGTCATCTGCGAGGTGTTTACACTATCAACCACTCGTTTTAGTTCAAGTTATCACAATTTTATGCCCTCTCAAAATGTATGTCCAACAACGAATTACATATTTTACAGATGAGAAATAATGAGAGAAAGGAAATGTGGTTACGTTTGAACGTATTTTGTTACATGTTCGTAGGCAACAGCTGGGGTTGTTCCGCGGAGGGGGTCTGCGGTGTGGGACTTGGAGACCAGGAACAGTTCTGGAATTGTGCAGACATCGCCATACTTCCAAGTTGTGAGGGAGTGGTCGGCAACATGGCGCCAAACGCGACTCTACTGCACGCCCCAAGCAGATCCCAGGAAGAGATCCAAGCAGAGACTCTGGCAAAGGCTTTGGCGCAGGAAAAGGCTGAAGCTGAAGCACAGGCGAAAACAGAGGCCGAAACACTGGCGAGAGCTGCCGATGAAGCACAGGCAAGAGCGGAAGCACAGGCAAGAGCGGAAGCACAGGCAAGAGCAGAAGCACAGGCAAGAGCAGAAGCACAGGCAAGAGCAGAGGCACAGGCAAGAGCAGAAGCACAGGCAAGAGCTGCCGATGAAGCACAGGCAAGAGCGGAAGCACAGGCAAGAGCAGAAGCACAGGCAAGAGCGGAAGCACAGGCAAGAGCAGAAGCACAGGCAAGAGCAGAAGAGGAGGCAAGAGCAGAAGCACAGGCAAGAGCAGAAGAGCAGGCAAGAAGAGAGGCTGAAGCACAAACAAGAGCTGATTCTGAATCCCGGGCGAGGGCAGATGCGGAGGAAGGGACTGGCGCCCATGGCGAGACTGATACCAACTCAGGTGCCAGTGATACGGGTGGGGGAGGACCAACGTCAGCCAGCCAGACAGGGAGCGGGCAGTGTCGTGGGTCCGGGCCGTGGCATGGAAATTCCGATATGGACAACTGGTGTCGTGTCAACTGTGCACTAAACAATTGTCCCTCTGTTACGTGTACATGTGACTAATCAGCGGCGGGCACGTGTTGTAATCTGTGTCTACTGTGATGAGGGAAGAGACATTTACCGCGAATAACATCATACTCACCCACATTAGAAACGCTCTACGAATGTACCTTTTGATTGGAATGACAATTGAGATTTATGTTTCAAGTTTAAACTCTTTAGCTGGTTCTCCCTTTTTCACGCTGTTCAATGGGGCAGGGGTGTCTTGTGTCCTAAATGTCCGCCACTCACTATCCTAATTGCTGGTCAGGAATTAGTGACAGGTTCGTCCCTGATCTATCTGTACCATGACTGTGTTCGTGATGGCGTGATATGTATTTTCGAAAAGCATATTTGACGAAACAAATATCATTGACCAAAAATTATCTCCAATGCAATTCCCTATTTTGACTTGTACCATGCCTTTGCACGTGTGTGTGACGAGTGACACCGTTGGAGCAGGACATTCGAATACCTGGTATCATATCTGTGCTTATGATAGAGTCGAAATTGTACAATAGCTTCTGTTTTAGGAGGATTTCTTATGATAATGTAAATGTTTCTTATACATCTGTCCTTATTAACAACGTTTCAGTTATTAAGAATATAATAAAAAAAGTAAGTGTTGCCATGAGGTTTGGGGTACTAACCTGAGAAAATTGTTTTCCAAATCATTTCTAACTCACCATGCGTTTTGTTCTCTAAAGGCCAACCTTTAAAAACAACCTTTAAGTCTTCAAGGGTGAAAAAAGTGACGTCGTCTAAAGTTGTTTAGAGTCAAAATAACATGTAAAATGCAAACCTTCACAGTTTATATTCTTTTGCGGGATCAGTACCTCCTGTATTGTTTCTTACTGTTTGTGAGAATATAAACTATATAACCCGGAGTAATTTGTACCCTTGTAAATACATCGTCCCAAGTGGGACACAAGGTTGTTTCTCGTCACCTTTTAATTATAACAGCATTTCTATTTCCATTTCCCAATCACTAGAAACGGAAACGTTCCAACACGACATCCAGGGTTTCAAAACCTCGCAGCCCTTCCTGATTTCCCCCCTAAAAAAAAAATAGCTCCTGGGCGGGTTACGTCAAAAAGTGGAAGGGAAAAGAAGTGCGGATCCGGAAATGAATTTAGCCTACGATAATTATCTAAAGGGTCGGTTGGTGATGAGAAGCATGTTACCTTATTTACCAATATATCATTTTATACAAGTAGTGTAGACTCAATACAGACAACCATTTATCATTTTTAAGGCGATATCAAATTTATTATTTGTCGTTTAGGCTACGGATGACGAATGTATATTATGATTAATCCAAAGTTTAAAAAACAAGGAGTTGATTCATTTATTTTTCTCGTACGAACAACCGAACTATCGATGGGCTAACAACCGCAATAACTATTTTCGGTAACTGAAACTTGACAGGATTACGACTAACTCGGTTCTCCTTTTTCCCTGGGGTCATTTCGCCCCAAATTTATGATTGACTTTTTTTAAAAAGAAATACATTCACAAAAAATTCTTAAGGTAGCTCCGTTTGATTGTACGGGTGGAAGTATTCAACACCCACTCTGCACGCCTACTGAGTTTTAATTTACAATATATATTTTTCGACAAATAGCCCTGTGATTTACGCCCGTAAACCAAAAGCAGAAACAAAGTAGGATAAGAACCTTTTGTGGACCACTGGAAATGTAATTTTAAATTTACTTAAACCAATGAACCATTTGTTGGAAAATTATCAGATAACTTTTTGAATGCTGACAACTATTTTTTCTTTCTTACACTTGAAAGGTTTGGATTTCTGTCACGATCAAAGCAAAAATGTTGATTAATTTTCATACTTCTTGAACGAAGCTGATCTTTTTACCGCATGCTTGTACTGTCTTTACCTGAACCTTAACAACTTGGGGCAGAGGCTGTCTCTAGATTTACTTATCAGATCAACAACTTCAGAATAAATCTTTTTGACACAGTTTTAGTTTTCCTGGTACATTGAGGGTTGTCCTAAACATATACATATTGACCAAAGGCTAATTCTCCTTCATAACACATCTGATACAGCTCCTTTCAGAAGAAAATCTTAACCTTGTGCTCATTTCTTAGATTATGGAGACCCTATGGGTAAAGACGAGCCTTCAACATACACAGACCTTCATACACAGGCCATTTTAAGATTGACAGAGCTTGTATCGGTCTACATATCTGGTTTTGTATTTAAAAATAAACACTGTATGTTAAAATAAATGTTGTTGTTTTTCTACCATGCAGCATTGTTCACAGTTTGAGAGAGTGTTCGCCACACGTAAGCCTACCTCTTGTGGTTAAAGCGTTCGGTCGTCATGCCGAAGACATGGGTACAATGTGTGAAGCCCATTTCGGGTGTCCCCCGCCGTGATATTGCTTGAATATTGCTAAAACGGCGTAAAACCATACTCACTCACTCACCCCGCCAAAGGCCCCTTGTTAATCTTGCGAGTCTGATCAGCCAGGTGACTCGGTTGTGTGCGTGTCATCGCTACCGGACGGCGTCGATCGTTGCTCACAGTGTTAATCTCCGGATTGTCTGGTCCAGACTCGATTATGTAAAGCACGCCAACATGTAGCTGGAATATTTGCTGAATGCGGCGTTTAACCACTTTAAGCAATAGCTTAGCAACATCATAGCGAAGTACACCAGAGCCCACATGCACAAAGTGATCTCAGCGCTAAGACTATCGTAAGCCTATGTTAAAGTATGGGAGTTACGATAATCTTAGCGCTAAGATCCCAGTGCAAGTGGGTCCTGGAATGTGATCCAGGGCATTCGGCGTGACAAGCCAACAATTTATTCGCTAGGCTGCCCCAGTGCTATTTTGTTTATTGGATGTTTTTTGTTTGTTTGTTGCAATTGGGATACCATGACATGCACTAACCAGTCATCCTGACTCGCCGCCTCTTGCGACAAGAATGGTTTCCTGAATCACAATAAAATGTCACACCATGAATGAACTGAACTTGCTGCATGTGCACACAGAAGTCAAAGTGTGTGCACCTCTAGGGGAACTCACAATCACTAATGTAATATAGTCAAGCACACGTAATAAAATGCCTCCGAGACAGTATTTCCTGGGCTTTCATGCAAAACAAACTACACCTAGACAAGATCACCCCATTAACTGAATTGATCAGCCCAACAGATTCAAATTTGCTCATGTTGTCCATACAGTTCCGCACAGTAACAGTAAGGCGAATTTCAATATCTACCGTTTAGAATCGGCTGCCTGCAGCCCGACTAAAAGTAGTGTGACTTTGTGAGGGTGTGACCCCAACAGCTTACCAAAGGAAACAAGATTGGGAGGGGCTAGGCAAAACCAGGGGCGGGTCGTGTCCCAATGGCGTTATACGATGTGTACAGATTATCAAGGTTTTGCCTCCGATTCACAGACGGCAGAAAACGTTGTTGGCGACGAAGCGGCGAGCGGAATGCCAGGGGACCAAATCATGACCATGATCGGCATAGGGGCGACAGCGTCATGGTGTGGGGCGGTATCACACAACGTCGGATTTGGTTATTGTGAATAATCATTTGACTGGCCAGTGATATATTTACGAAATCTTGCGTCCTGTAGTTATCCGCAAGAATTATCGGCAGAAATTTTGAACTGCAAGATAACAGTGCCAGACAGTATCGTGCCAAGGTCGCCATCTCTCATCTCCGACGATAAGGCAGACTGACACTGGACAAGTCCCCTGACATGTAGCTGTTCAGGCGGAATGGCGGGCAATACCAAGGGCAACCACACACAAGTTAATCAACAGTATGCCATCACGGTGTCGTGCATGCATCGCCCATGGTGGACAGATATTGATCTCCACGCCCAAATGAATGCTACAGACATTTATCGTCACTACACCTTCATTATCATTTCATCAGTTCCCTTAATATGTATCGGTAGTCCATCTTCAAGCAGAGAGTATCATATCGGTATATGATGGTAATTAGCTGGACTCGCTGACTTCTCATTATTTTACAACAATACCATACCTTGTTGCATGGAACTTAGAGGACATTTCCATTGCAGCTCGTGTCAGCTGAACGTTTTGATCAGCCAAGCAGCGTTGGGACGAGTGGGCGAAGTATCCAGACCAGAATATCTGATTTCTCTATCTCGAAAACAAGTACAATCGAAATCAAAATGCAGAAAAATAATATATATTGTTGTTGATATTACATAGATCATGATGTTTGTGGGTGCCATGACATCTATACCTTTACAGTAATATACCTCAAAGTGCTTAAATCCCAACTCACTGTTATCTGTACAAATGTGAATGTCATTGTGATAAGGGAGAGGTGGGTAGGATATCTTGTGGACCGGCTGTTATTTCAACATAATGATTGCTTGACCCATGTGACAGACATAAGCCGAGCTTCCAGTGTGTGGTTGTTCTTTAAATCAATACAATGGCAGTCATTGGGGTGTTCACCTTGCTGTTCACCCTGCAACACCTAAACGCCCAACCTGTCGTCGACGCCCCGTGGGGTGCAGTTGAGGGGACCACGAACGTCACAGAAGACTGGACACCTTACCATGCATTCCTTGGAATCCCCTACGCAGTTCCGCCTACGGGGGCCAGGCGGTTCAAGCGACCACAGCCACATCCAGGATTTAAACACATCTTCAAAGCCCAAACGTATGGTCCACCATGCATTCAGATTCTCCAGCTGACTGGTAATAATGGTGTTACTGGGGACGAGGATTGCTTAACACTGAATGTATTCACTCCAGCGCTACTTACGGAAACCAAGAACATTCCTGTAATTGTTTGGATACATGGAGGGGGATTCATTGTCGGGGATGCTTTCACCTTTGACCCTTCATTGATCGTTGGGGCTGAACAGGTTATAGTAGTAACCATCGAATATCGTCTGGGGCCGCTCGGGTTCCTCAGCACAAACGATGACGTGTCAAAGGGAAACTATGGTCTCTGGGACCAACATCTTGCTCTGGAATGGGTCAAGAAAAACATTGCATCTTTTGGCGGGGATATTAACAGTATTACCATCATGGGAGAATCAGCAGGGTCCGCCAGCGTGGCATTCCAGGCCTTGTACCCAGGGTCCAAGGGTTTGTTCCAGAGGACAATCATGCAGAGCGGGTCTGTCTCGTCCGCATGGGCTTATACACGGAACTCTCTGAAATATGCAAGAGAACTGGCCCATAAGGTAAACTGTTCCCCTCAGAACGATACCGCATCAATGATCACCTGTCTGAGGACTATCCCTGCCAAGACGTTGACTGCAGCATCGTGGCCAATGGGAAATGAACCTGTCACAGCTTCAGCCGAGTTTTATTTTGTACCTACTATTGATGGTGAGTTTGTCAAAGACGATCCACTGGTTCTAATAAATTCTCCAAGTTTCCTGGAACAGGTAGGACTTCAAAATCTTGACTGCATGGTATCGGTTGTAAGCAATGAAGGGGGACTCTTTAGTTACCTTTCACAAGCAGTTGATAAAGAGTTCAACTCGTCCATATCCTCATCGGTTCAGAACAAGGGTTTCTACATTAACACCTTCATCCCAGAGATCCTGGAGCTTTATTTCGGTGCATCGTCTCCTGACATGACACAGGCTGTGGCTAAGGTGTATCTCCCGCCTCACAGTCCTGCCGTTGATCTCCAGGCAGTAATGAACACTCTTGGTGATGCTGGGATGGTCGTCCCCGCAACGCTCTTTGCGAGGGCTCATGCAAAGCTGACCAGACACTTGAAGACAGGAATGAAGACCTACATGTATGTGTTTGACCACATCCCATCTTTTATTCCTGGCCATGACAAGGGGATGAATCATGGTGAAGATCTCATTTACACTTTCGGTCTCAACAAAGCCTACATGGCTGCAATGGCGAAACAGTTCCGAAATACTACATTTGTGCCAGACCAATCCGAAAAGGAGCTCTCACATACATTGATGGGACTGCTAACAGATTTCGCAAGATATGGGTAGGTTTGTCAAATAGTTTTTATAAGAAAGATTGTAGGAATGTGGCGAGTGATCTGAGTTTGAATGTGTCATAATGACACATTTAAACTCATACTGGTAGGAAGAGAGTGAGAAATATCTTGTTTGTGTGTTATTTAACACCACAGTCAGCAATATCTAAACCTGGCCATTATCGAGTCGGACCAGAACCGATTCAGAGCTATTGGTCCTCTTGAAAGGGATCCCAGACTCGGGTTTATGGGCAGATTGAAGTAATGCAATGATTTAGTTTGTCTGGTATCTTAACGCATCTGATATGATTCAGTCTCGCAGTCAGATGTTTCCACAAGGAAATGTTTCAATTTCCCTCATGGTGGACATTACAACGTTTTGGCCTCGAAAGGAAACGGCCACCAAGGCCCCATTTCACAAACAGAACTTAATACCCAGATCATAACACCCACACTTTGACACTGACTTACGACAGTCATGGTGCTAAAATCGCTCTGCGGAACGGGATCCATGGCGTCAAACATTTTGTATATTATCACGTCTGGACCAGACAATACAGTGGTCGATATTGTGAGCAACAATCCATGCCATTGTGGTACATGCAGTCGATCCAGTTTGTCGCCTCTAATGACAAATCCAGGATGCTGATGACCTGTTCTACCCCGGAATGCCCAGTAATGGGGTGGGGGTAGGGTGTGTAACATTGCCCCCATCGTGGGAGTAAACCCCACTTGACCCAGTTTGCAGGCATAAGTCAATGTGGGGATACTGACCGACAAAGGATTACAATCAGAACGAGATTTGTGAGGAGTGAATTGTTGTGCCCTTGACAAACATAGTAAACATAGTAAACATCCTATTCTTACTGAATAGGCCAAACCCTCCGGAACACATAATGTATTTTATTGCATTATTTCTATTTCTAAGCTCATTTGGTCCATTGGCAAGAGGCATTTGACAAATAAGAAGCATGGGATTTGAGGTATATTTTCCTGAAAACAAACCCGTTTGAATACAAGTTATCACAAACAATAACGTGAACAAAAAATATTTCAATGTTTCACAAAATAAGGCTTTGTCATTTTTATTTCACTTTTGAAAACTGTAAAGCAAAACAAGAAAATAAGTGACGTAGCAAGGAGTTTTCACAAATAACATGGGACGTTATATGTACGGGGGATTTATTGTAAACGGTCAGAACAAACGCCCTGAAACATACATGTATACTTCAAAATATATATACACGTACATAAATGTGTAAGCGTACATCACAACCACATGCAATCATATTTATATTCATTCACATCGTCGCACGGACGACATCACAGAAATAATTCGAACGCATACATTTAACAAATACATTCAAAGATGTGTTATACATTACAATAACTATGTTTATACATTTGTATCCGTATACAAGCATAAGAATATGACACATGTAATTATTGATTATATTTATACACAGACAAATACAACCATACCCTGTGGTGAAACTGGGGCGAGAACTGAGTTGACCAAATATGAACTGATCAGAATATGATGCCTGCATCTAAATACAAATACAAAGACAAATGTTCTCACTTAGGAAAAACTGGTAATCTTAGCAAACATGAATTATCTTTTACGTATAACACACCTATGAGCGCTTTATTTTACACATAAACAACATAGTAATAAACAAAGACATACATGATAAGTAAAAACGCACTCGTTCACCCATTCTAAAACGAAAGTTTTGGGAAAGGTGAAGATTTCTGTGGAAACTTACTGACCTAATTACAATTTTTGAATGGCTGCAATTATATGACTATATGAAATGACTTATTTCGATAAGTATTCTGACTCAATAACACTACAACTGATTACACAAATGGACACAAGTACATATTAACAATCGGTATAATAAATTACCAACCTGTAAGGACGATCTCAAACATTAGACATGACACACAAAGCAAATTACCGTTGTGCATTCTCAAAGTGTTAGACCGCCTCCGTGGTCTAGTGGTAGAGCGTCCGCCCTGAGAGCGGAATGTCCGGGGTTTGATCCCCGGCCGCGTCATACCAAAAGACGTTAAAAGATAGTACTTGTTGTAACCCTGTCTGGCGCTCGGCATTAAGGGGCAGAAACAAGAACTGGTCAGCTCGGAGTCAGTATACTGTGTCTGAGTGGGGTATAAAAAATATGATCTTTTACCCCGATTCTCCCTTATAATTTGACAAACCCTCAGTCGGAGGTCCCGCCTGATGTACATTCTAATCATCATTGGGGCTTCTGAGTGTAAAGTTCAAAGCTTTATCAGTTCTGAATCGGCAGTGCAGGTAAAGTAGAGGATATCAGGCTATCTTGTACAACAGCTGTTTATACCGACACGGCGATTGGGTAACACATGTGACTGACACATAAAATATCCCGAACTTTCAGTGTGATCGTTCTTTGGCAGTCACCTTCCTGTTCACCTTGCTGCTCACCTTGCAGCATCTAACTGATCGTTGGCGTTTGACAGGTAATAGTGGTGAATCAGAATGCAGGAATTACAATGAAAACAACGAAAATATAATTATCTAAAAATGAAAGAATCACGTTTGTGAAATATAATGCCAAGGTACTTATATTCATCGGTCGGGTAGCCTAGTGGTTAAAGCGTTCGCTCGTCACGCCGAAGACCCGGGTTTGATTCCCGACATGGGTACAATGTGTGAAGCCCGTTTCTGGTGTCCCCCGCCGTGATATTGCTTGAATATTGCTCAAAGCGGCGTACTCACTCACTCATCAACATGCTCTCCTGCTTTTTCAATGAATGGGTGAATTGTAAACATAGTAAACATCCCACACTTACTGAAAAAGGCCAAACCCGCCGGAACACACACAATGTATTTCTATTGCATTATTTCTATTTTGAGCTTATTTAGTCCAAAGGCAAGACATATTTAACCAATAAGAAACATGTGATTTTATGAGGCCATTACGCCGTCAGCGCTTGGTGGGTCATGGCAATACACTCTAAATAAATCAGGTTAAAATCTAAATCTAAACTATTAAAAAGAAGTTAAAGGACACCCGATTCTTTCATATGACTATGGTTAATCAGTGATGAGAAGAACAGTAATATAACTGTGGGTGTTCTTTAACTTGTTTTCAGTAGTATATGATACAGTGTGAATGCTATAATACTGCAGTCCGTAAATATTATTTTTGACATTTGTTTAAGATCAACTTTCATTATATGTCTCTTGTCTTGTACACATCTACATATATATGTATTTGCATATCGTAATTTGATAAACACTGCTGTGAGTGAGTGAGTATGGTTTTACGCCGCTTTTGGCAATATTCCTGAGATATGACGGCTTTAACCACTAGGTTACCTTACCGCCCCATCGCTATGACAATGATGTTATCACAGTTGATATATGTACTTGGGTAAACTACACATATGGAGAGACATCCTAATTAGTGTGGCCACACAGTAAACGTTGGTGACAATATGAAGTAGATTACCATGATTATCTATAACACATGTTTAATCACCTGCCATTCTAATATTTTGTATGTATTGTAAGTATAGTTTTGTCAAATGTATGTAAGTAGGTGGGTGTATGTGTTGTCTGACTGTCTCCCTCTGTCAAGCTGTATGTTTGTATGTATACATGTATGAATGTGTGTGTGTCCGTCTTTCTGTATATCTGTCTGAACAACTGTCAGTCTGTGTACATATGTGGTAGAAATTTACCTAACTCACACCAGAACGCTCAATTGATAACAGCCAGACAGTTTCCTAGATAGAGAAATGTTACATACAAAATGTCTGGCTGATTCACTAGTGCAGATAATAGAGGTCATTAGTGTATCTTGTGCCTTGTAGACTATTTAAACCGACAAATTAATCGTGACTGGATGTTTAGAATAATCCGAGCTTTCAGAGTGTGGTTGTTTTTTAAAACAAGACAATGGTAATCACCGGAGTGTTCACCTTGCTGTTCGCCTTGCAACACCTAAACGCCCAACCTGTCGTCGACGCCCCATGGGGTGCAGTTGAGGGGACCACGAACGTCACAGAAGACTGGACACCTTACCATGCATTCCTTGGAATCCCCTACGCGGTTCCACCTACAGGGGACAGACGGTTCAAGCGACCACAGCCACATCCAGGATTTAACCACACCTTCAAAGCCAACTCATATGGTCCATCGTGCCTTCAGACTCTCCAGTTCTATGCTAATGATGGTGTTACTGGGGACGAGGATTGCTTAACGTTGAATGTATTCACTCCAGCATCACTTACGGAAACCAAAAACAATCCTGTAATTGTTTGGATACATGGAGGGGGATTTATTGCGGGGGATGCTTTCACCTATGACCCTTCATTGATCGTTGCCCATGGACAGGTAATAGTGGTGACCATCCAATATCGTCTGGGACCGCTCGGGTTCCTCAGTACAAACGATGACGTGTCAAGGGGAAACTATGGTCTCTGGGACCAACATCTTGCTCTGGAATGGGTCAAGAAAAACATTGCATCTTTTGGCGGGGATATCAACAGTATTACCATCATGGGAGAATCAGCAGGGTCCGCCAGCGTGGCATTCCAGGCCTTGTACCCAGGGTCCAAGGGTTTGTTCCAGAGGACAATCATGCAGAGCGGGTCTGTCTCGTCCGCATGGGCTTATACACGGAACTCTCTGAAATATGCAAGAGAACTGGCCCATAAGGTAAACTGTTCCCCTCAGAACGATACCGCATCAATGATCACCTGTCTGAGGACGATCCCTGCCAAGACGTTGACTGCAGCATCGTGACCAATGGGAAATGAACCTGTCACAGCTTTAGGCGAGTTATATTTTGTACCTACTATTGATGGTGAGTTTGTCAAAGACAATCCACTGGTTCTAATAAATACTCCAAGTTACCTGGAACAGGTAGAACTTCAAAATCTTGACTGCATGGTGTCAGTTGTAAGCAATGAAGGGGACATGTTTAATATCCTTTCA